AAAACGCCCAGGTTCAGCACAAACGCAGCTATGCGTTGGTTAAAAAAACGCCCAGGTTCAGCACAAACGCAGTTATGTGTTGGTTAATAAAACGCCCAGGTTCAGCACAAACACAGCTATGTGTTGGTTAATAAAACGCCCAGGTTCAGCACAAATGCAGCTATGCGTTGGTTAAAAAAACGCCCAGGTTCAGCACAAACGTTGCCGGAAAATGCAGCAACGCTCAAAACAACCGGGTTTGGGGGATTAAATGCTGCTGGGAAATGATGTGATGTGTTGTGGAAAAAACAACCAGATTCAGTGCCACAAACACAGCTGGGACATGGCGTGAGGTCCGTTGTTCAAACAGCTCTGGAAAACAGGTGATGTGTCGGTAAAACTCATGTTTGGCGCCACAAATGCTGCTGGGAAATGATGTGATGTGTCGACAATAAACAGAGAAAGGTTTGGCGCCACAAATGCTGCTGGGAAACGCCACAATGTGACGCTAAAATACCCCAGTTCACCCCACTGTGAAACAAACATGGTGAAATGTCCCTTTAAAGACTGAAGAACGAGCTTGTTGACTGTAATGAACTCTCTGAGGGACGACGTGTTTCTACAACCTGCACGAGGATCTAAAACAGGAAACACATGTGGAGCCGAAGCTGAAGCCTCCTGCTACGACAGATGAAACCACAGAGGAAACGCTGGCTGCACCGGCCGCCGATTGGTCCTCTGTTTTTCCTTCTTCTTCTTCTTCTTCTTCCTTCTTGAAGTGAGCGGATGCATCCAGCTTTGTTTACAGAGGCTGTTGACGGCGCAGGGCTCCTCCGACATCTGCTCCACGCCGCTAATTAGTCGCTAATTACCGGAGAGAGAGGCTCGTGTCTCTGTCAAGCGGCTGACCGAGGCGCTTTGAAAACCAACAATCTAACAAATTAATTTCCTCCGACACAGCAGCCGAGCCGCTGGGACCGCAGACGCACCAGAGAGGCTGTTTTTTTTTCCTTCTTCTTCTAAACCTTTATTTACTCAGTGAAGGCTGACTGGGCGCGCTGGTGTCTGCACCCACCTGGGAGCTGCCCAGTACAAACACAACCTTTTACTGGTGGCCAGTCAGCGGCTCCGCTGGAGCAATTTGGGAGCACCGCGCTTCGCTCAAGGCCGACACGGTGATGGATAACGATGCTTCGCTGGATGTCAGGGATCTGAAGGGCTGACGGAGGTTCACACACTCACATCACAAGTTTAATGTCCCTATTAGAGGATTAAAGTGTCAATGATTTGAGTCCTGCTCACCAACAACTATGGTTAAATGTGATAAGACCAAAGGACTGGAC